TAGATAGATAGATAGATAGATAGATAGATAGATAGATAGATAGATAGTGAACAACATTAATAAAATTTGCAGTTTTGCATTTCCCCACAGCTTTCTCTAAAGGTTGTCTTTAAGATATTTGGACCTCCTGGAGGTGTATGCTGATAGCATAATGTATTTCTGATTCTGATTATTGGTCTTTTTGGCATCGTGTTTTCTCCATGCTTGGTTTAGAGTCATTTATATTTTGATTACATAAACTTGATGAACCGGGAGCAGGAAACGGAGGCTAGTCAGGAAACGGAGTTCGGAAAAGCCATTTCCTAATAGACATGCTCTGTCCTTAATTAGAAAATGCGCTTAATTTCTGGTTGTGTATGTGTGCGTGAACAGCAGGGCTGGCCAACAGGAACACAGCAGATCCTCATCCCTTCCACATGGCAGCAGATGCCTGGAATGTCCCTCCACAATCCGGGGCAGGCGGTGGTGACCGACTCCCCTGTGGGAGACGCGGCCACCGACGGTCAGCAAGCTCCCGGATGGAGGTGCGTGCCGCGACTCTGCTCCAACAAGCCAAACGTGTCCGATCATACACGTGAAAGCGTCTACTCTGTGTCTCAGGGGTCATCACGGCGGCCAGTACGACGGCAGCGGCCAGCAGGAGTCCGGCGTCAGCCGCCACACTTCCAACCAAAACCACACCTCAGGGGCCACTCACACACGGTCCCAGCAGGGCAAAAGATCAAAGGCTCGGCATGCCGAGAGCAGAGCGAGGTATATACGCAAAGTCTATTAGTCTGCAAAAAAGCAACCATTTCTGGGACTTTTAGTCTCTTAAGTGCTTCTAAACATGAGCGCAGGCATACACAGCAGATTGCTCCTAGTAGCTGGAGAGGGTCATTGGGTCATTCCTAAAAAGGTGCTGCGTCATCCCCCTGTTCCCTCCAGGGTGGTGCCCTCAGCACATCCGGCCGTCACCGTGGTCCGAAACACCTCTTTCCTGGGCGACCAGTCTCAGCCCATCGTCATCTCCGACACGCCGAGCCCCGCCGTCAGCATCATCACCATCCACAGCGACTCAGAGGATGAGGATGAGAGGAAGGCCCCCGCTGCCTGGTGAGCTTTTTTCCCCTCTCGGAAAACATTGCTGGATTGTCTTTGACAGTTAGCTGTTTTCCAGCTGTGTTAAAAAACACGTTTTAATGGTTACAGCACCATTCTACTGCAGGCCCTAATAGCAAAACACAAATCGACATGTCCGTGGCTGCAAATACAGAAAGTAAATGTAGTATTTAAGCAATAAAAACATCATCAAACAGTCATCATAACATTTTAATAACAAAAACATATCGAAACTGAGATGGCAAAAACAACAGTTAAAAATAAAACTACAACAAAACCAAAACTTCCATGATTTAACATAAGCAGTAAACTGTTTTTTTTCAAATGATGATAGTTATATATATATATTTTATTTATTTTTTTAAATGCAGTTTTTTTCTGTTCTGGTCAGTTTTTTTTGTCAATTTCTTTTGTGTCAATTGTTGTTTGTCAATTGTGGGTATCAAATGTTTTGTTTTTGGTTTTGTTATTAAGTTTTCAATTGAATATAGTGTATTTTATATCAATAGTGCCAAGTCACAAATAATGGCATATCACTACAAAGACAATTTAATTCAAGCCAACTATTTTTTTAATGAAAATGTTTTTTTTTTCTTCTGGTTTTTAAACATATTTTACGTGTTGTGCATTTCTGGGCACCTTTTCTTTGCTTTTTGTTGCTGTGTTTTGGGGTTTTCAATCACAGGCCACAGCAGGAATCACATCTTGGAGAGGGGAAGTCATATCGTATTGTGTGTTATTTTTTGCTGCAGCTCTGGAGTGAGTCAGAGGACAAACGTCATCAGTTGTGTGACGGTGCATGACTCTCATGACTCGGACTCCTCCACCAGCAGCCCCGTGAGTCCCAAAACCAGCACACAGCCCTGCAAGTCTCTGGCCATCATCATGCCCTCTGTGAAGACTCAGCCTGGAGAGAGCTCGGCGCACAAAGCTGCAGCAGCTGCAGGTCCTTAAAAGCTCATACTCTAGTCACTTTTGACAAAAAATTTTATCTGAACAGTTTTATTTCTTAAATACAATGTTTTAACATGTTAAAAATGCACATTTGTTGTTCATAAAAACAGGATTGTATTTCCCCTCTCGTTGCCACTGTGACATTCATACCAAAAAGGGGTTAAAACCATCAAAAAGTAAAGAAAAATATTAGAAAAGCTTTGAATGTTGTGAATATTTTGATATTTTTTAAGCAGAATTGGAATTTTTTGGGGGTCTGCTTTTGAGCATAACCTCAAAGAAAAATGCTAAAGAAATAATAGAAAAGATACCGAAAAATGATTGATTATTGCTGTCTTTCAACCAATCCAAAAAAACGTCTAAAAAGGATATTTACACCGATCTAAGCATGCAAAACAACTTTTCATTTTTTAGCTTAATGTCAAAGAAAACATCTGAAAGAAAGACATGATATATTGTATTAGTTCTGTATGAAATACAGACAAAAAATGTAATTGTTTTAGAAATAAAACTTAATTAAACGCATGTTGTTTGGTAACTTAGGATGTTTTTTGCGTTCCTTTTCTGAAAAGGATAGCATCTCTGCTAACAGATGCTTACCCACTCTGGGATCCTCTGGTCCTGTCAATTCTTTGGCAAACTTGAAATTAAAGCAAAAATATGTGGCCGTCAGTTTTAGAACTAGGATGTTTGACTTTGAAATGCTCTGTCTGGTTCCGTACTGTTAGATCCGACTCCAGCTGGCTCTACAAAGTGCAAGAAGGCGTCCGGTCAGCCAGCGGCCCGGCCAGGAGACTCCAGCGCTGACCGCCATCAGCGGGCTCCGTCCAGCAGATCCCAGCCCCTGAACCTTAGTCAAGTAAGAGCTTAAACAGTCTGTTGGGGTTTTTTGTGCGTCTCTCTGGAAAATTTGGGATTTCTGAGCTCTTCCTGATATCTTTTCAAAGGTAGACATTGTCAGAGTTGAGGCCGGTCTCACTTCTTCAGGAAGATTGCTCCATATTTTAGTAGGGCGAGACAAAAACGCAGCCTCACTTTGTCTGGTTCTGACCCTGGGCACCATCCTGAGGTTCTCAGAGTCCGAGCTGGTTCACATGTCTCCAACACGTCAGACAACGCAGAGACTTGCACACAAGCAGAGCTGTTTTAAAGTCTACAGACTGAGCGGCTGGAAGCCAGTGCGGAAGCCCTGAGCGCCGGACTAATACGGTTATATTTTCCTGCTTCTAGTCAGAACTGGAGCAGCCGCATTGGGGATGTTCTGCAACTGTCTCACAGCTTGTTTAGAGAGCCCGGTGAGCCGGCCTGCCGGAGACAGAGGCATGGATTAAGTCTTTCTAGGTCTGCTTTAGACACTATTCCTCTGATTTTCCTCCTGTAATCCTTGCGTGTGGATGTAATGGTCGTTTCAGGTGCAGCAGTCCGCGATGCCCTCCTCCCAAACCCAAACGGCGAGTGGCGGCGGCTCCTCGCGGCGGCCGCCCGCGTACCCGCCCCCGGCCCCCTCCCACTCGTCCTACCGCTTCCACGAGAGCGCGCTCTTCGGCCCCGCCCCCGGCCTGTACGCCTACCCGGCCTCCGCCGCGCTGGCCTCCGTCTCCCAGGCCGTGGACCAGCTGCAGGGCGGGGCCCGCCACGCCAAGCCCGGGGGGGCCTACCCCCCCCTGGCCCTGCTGCAGAAGGGCAGCGGCCTGGTCCCGGGACAGTACACCACCCAACACCACCACCTCCAGCAGCAGCAGCAGCTGGGGGGGGCCCAGACCTTCCACCACCGGCCCGGAGCCGCCTACCCGCGGAAGCTCAACCAGTTCCCGTACATGTGAGCCCCGCACCCAGACCAAACCCAGGCCAGAGGTTTAGTTTCCAAATGAACCTTTTACCCGTAGCGCCGTCCCAGAATGTGTCCGTGCTTTAACCCACCCCCCCCCTTCTTTCTTTACGAGGCGGCGTGATCTGTTTAGTGTCGAGTCTGTGTTGTGCTTCTGGGCATTTTAACTTCATTTTTTAGCGTCGACACCATGGCCAAACTTTTTATACAGAGTCCAAGTTAATGGAAGCAAATGTTACACTAGCAATTCATTCTTTGTCGATTATTCTTACACAAAAGGAGACCTCTGACGTGGACAAACCGAAAGGAGACTGTTACGCTGCTTCAGAGTTATTGTATTAGGTCACGGGAATCAGACATGACTGAAAACATTTTGCATTAACTCACACACTCGCCTTATCCGGGCATTTTCTTTTCTCCGTTTAAAAAAGATAGTTTTTTTTTTTTTTTTACTCTCTGCACATTGTGATTAGCTGGATAAATATGTTTTTATTAATGAATGTACTGTGTGCGTGAGTGTGTGTGTGAATTTGATCCGTGCTCAAAACAAAATGGTGGACATAAGCTACGTGCCGTACTGTGTAATAACGTGTCGTTTCGTGTGTTTTCCTTTCTCCCACTTAGGAGTCTGTATGAGTTCCAGCCATTATTGCCTATATTTATGTTCGTTGTCCTAATCGAACGCTGAGCCGTTGCACAGAGAAGGATGTGCCAGAGTGGACGTTTTATTCCCTTTTAAAAAACAAAAAAAAACAAATTTTTAGGCTAACTGTTAAAGGGCCTGATACGGAGTAGCATTCAGGAGAGCTGCAGGCCGATTAATGTCTGACTTGTGCAACAAACGGTAACATTGGGGAAAGTGTAAACGTGCTTGTCTCGTGACGTGATGTCTGTGGAGTAAAGCGTGCACATAAGCTCTGATCAGGTATCGCACTGGTGTAAAAGGCGGATCCATTTAGGTTCATTTGCTCCACTACTGCCTTTAATTTGTGAATAATCAAAAGCGGTGAAGTCTATAGAAAAATAAGTTGATGTTCAGTATGTTACTGCTTCTAAACAAATAATAGGTTTGGTGAAATGATTCTTCCATCCTGCTGTGTTGTGAAGTGCTACATTACAGAGAACACACAAAGGACTTTAACCCGTATATACGCAATAAAATCTTCTCAAGAAGAAGTCAAGTCTCAGTGGTGATTTAAGCTAAATGGTGCTAATAATACACACACATTGCATCTCTACGAGCCACTCTAAACATATACTCAAACAAAAACTCCTGCTAGCCATTAAGACCAAGATTTTTGGTTTTGTGTAGAGGTTCAACAAGAAAAAAAGAAAAGTAAAAAAAAAAAGAAAAAGAAAATGGTTCTGTTTTGTAATATTTACCTAGCCCTGAATCCACAAAGCTCCATGTTGCATTTTATGATTGAATTGCCATATTATCATGTTCAAGTTTCATATTTAGAGGTCCAAGAAATTCCCACAAGATGTTTCAGCTGATCCAAACTGCTACAGCCAGAATACTGACCTGTACTTTTCAGAGACCACATATCTCCGGCCTCTGCCTCTGTTCACTGTCTCCCTAGAATGCCATGGATAGAATTGAAATGTTCCTTGTTACACTCAAAGCACTTAATAATTTAATTCCAAATCATCTCAAGAAACTCATTGTTAGTTTATCATCCCAGTAGATCACTGTACATGGAAGCTCAAAACGTACCTCTTTAAAAAATACAGTAAGTATGTTTGTGTTTTAATGTGCCTACAAGACGACTGTTAATATAGTTCTATGTTTATCTTTACACATATTGAACTATTCATTAATTTTGTAATAGACTGAACCCATGGATTATGTGAGTCTCCCTAACCCGTACACTCCCTGGACAGAGAAGGCAGTTAATGGAAGCAAATAGTTTGAGGACTAAGTTTAGAACTGAGGAGGCTTTTCTGATGAGAGCAAAACATCTTTAGGATCCAGTAAATCTAGTTGCCTTTACTCGAGCTCTTAGCATTTCACCGGTGAATGAGAAAAATACAGGTGTGAGAAGCCTACGCAGACAAAAAAACAAAACAAAAAAATCCTCAGTTGATAAGAAACTTTTATTCTTTCCTTGTGTATTTGCAGTACATCTTACAAAGCCGCTGCATTTGGATATCATACATGTTTACAATCCGAAGGCAGAGCCTGCAGCGGTATACAAACACTCCACAGGTTACTGAAAACTGCTGTGAGACGAGAGGGAACGGCAGGCCGTTATATGTCCGTGCATTTGAAGACGTCAGATGTAAAAGCTTTAAACCAATGCGATGAAGAGCAGCCAACCAGAGGACATCAGGACCAAATCACTACATGACATTCAAAGATTTGGAATCGTGATTAATAAATAAATGTATGATTGTAGGTACGATACGCAGACACATGAGAAACTATTTGGTGAATATGGCTGAATGAATGGGATTATTTTTTCTAATTTCCCTTCAGTTAGTCGACATATCCCACACCCATTGTTCTCACATTAGGCCTAATCTTTGCTTCTTCTCACCGTATCAGCAGGCCAGAGGAAAAATGGCAGGTAGCGTCGCAATAAACTGACAGATCCGTGGGCCGAACGGAAGGATCCATCTTTTAATGAGGACTTTTTTTAGTTCTCTCTCATAGAGGTACGTGAGGAATGTGAATATTTACACTGTATACAATCGTGTTAAGGTTTAAAGTCCTCATATACACACGTTTCACAAAGGAACTTGGAAATTTAGAGCTGATGCAGTCCAACTGTCCGATGGCTCTCGGAAGGCAGACTGTGAGCGGTGGGCGGGAGGCCTTCAGAACTCCTCGTGCACGTTTCTGGCGTAATCCATGAGCTTGCTGCCGGTGAAGTATTCGCTGTACCGTAGGATCTCCTCCAGCTCCAGCTGGTGGTTCTGGTTCTCGTCGGCCACGGCGATCATCTGTTTAGCCTCATTCAGAGCGTTGTGCTCGTTCATGGGGTCCATGTACTCCTGATAGAGAGAAAAAACACGAACAGATAAACAGTCGAGTCCAAGTAAAGACTCGGCTCGACAGGGAAAAATGTTTTCTTTTTCCAGCCGTTTCCAGGGGTTTTAGTTGATCTGATTCAGAGTATTTGCAAAGACAAAAATTACAAGGAGTGAATTAATTGGGTTTATTCCAAATAAGTAAAAATGAACAGCATCAACATATGATTAAATTAGAGAGGAAAATTAAGCACTAACGTCAGAGCAATTTAAGAGAACAAATGAGTTTTCAGCCTCTTTGCCCTCAATCTTGGTGGGACTTTAGCTAACACCCTGTAAAACTGGGGAGGTTTTACAGAACTCAGTTTGACATTAAAGGCTTCATCAGTTAGAACTGATGAGGAGGTGAAACATCTTCTACAAAACCTCATGTCCAGTTGCCTAACTGAACTTTTCCAGGATTGATCAAAATGCAGATTCTGGGCCAGGTTCTTTCAATTGGTCAAAACACCGGGGGATGTATGGAAGTCCTGTCCCTCACCTCCAGCTCTTCCATGGTTACGATCCCGTCACGGTCCGAGTCGATGACGTCCTCGAACTCCTTCTTCCTCTCTCGGACCCAGTCGTCGTCGATGTCCTGAGCCTGCTGGTTCTCCACGGTCCCCACCGGTAAGGAGATGAACTCTGACAGGGTCAGCTTCTTATCACCGTCCTGGTCTGAGAGAGAACCGCAGTGAGCCGCCGACTTTTACCGGTTTCATTTCAGACAGACGTACTATTCCAGTGTGTGCGGGGCAGGATTTAGCATCTTACAGCTAACAGAACCGGTCACTGGCTCCAGCTCCAAATGGCCATTTCTTAACAATTCTGAACTCAGGTTTTCGCCCTGACGCAGAACGTACCTAAGTCTCGCACGATTTCCTTGACCATGTATTTGAGCATTCCTCTGCTGTGCTCGGGGTGGAGGAAGGACAGGAACTCCTGCTCGTTCAGCAGCTGGTCAGGGGGAGGGTTGTCGGCCTGAAACCAGCGATCCTTCAGACTCTCCAGAACCTCCTGAGCTGCAGAGGGGGACGGAGGAAAGACGTTAGCAAGAGAGATTATACGAGTATATCAACCAAGTTGCTGAGTCGGACAAAGGCGTTCAGCACTTACTTTCTTCATCCAGCTTCAGATCTTCGTTATTCTTCATTTTCTCTGAAATTTCTTTTTCGTTGAAACCTTTGCTGGCCAGAAATTTGACTTTGTACTCGTCCCATGTCACGTGACCTACAGGCAGAGAGTGGGGTGAGAAGAGAAGCAGAGAAGGAATCGTTCTGGGATGGGGGTGCTGTTGACTCACCATCCCCGTCCGGATCCACAGCCCGAAAGCTGTTTTTGTTCTCTCTGACTGCCTCCTGGAAGTGCTCCTCCGTCTTCTCCATAATCCAGCGCTGCATCTCTTTGGCACTCACACTCCGGTCCTTGTTAAAGTCCACTCTGTCATGAGAAGAAAAAACAAAACAAAAAAGATGCTAGTACTGAATGAAGCTCCAGGTATTAATAACTAAATGAACAAGTAGTCAAAGCTAGTTACCATACCTTTAATCTCTTTGTAATATTCAAACCAAATCCTTGACGTTTTAAAGGAAATTACCAATATCTGAATTTGTTCCTGAAGCTAGTTTGATGTTTCAACAGAACATATGTTGAACTTTTATAGTCTTTGGCAAAAGGAACTTCTTTTCCCTTCTTAAATGGAGTTTCCGTCCTTCCTTTCTTCTCCCAACCAGAACCTCAAACTTGACCCTGAACAGTCACATGCTTTTTTTTTTTATTAGCACCATGACATGGACAACCCCCCAATATCAGATTTGGGTAAAGTTATGAATACTTATTCCCTTTATTCTTTGCCCCTCAAACACCAGAAGTAGCGGCTAAGTGAGTTTTCATTTTGAGACACGGGTTAAGTCCCTCTCCCTTTTGCCAGTAACACGTCCACTTCTGGCCGCTCTGCTGGCCAACACAAGCTCCCTCTTTCAAAAGGAATGAGAGGGGACTTTCAAAGGGAGTTGCATGCTGTCATTCTGATGTTTTTTTTGGAAAGAGTCAAAATTCTTAACATTTCTGAGTATGGTTAGGAGATACAGTGACACTGGACACACTTTGGGAAAATTCAAACTTTTTCTTACTTGGTAAAAATGTCAATGAGTTTCTTCCTGTTCCTCCTGGGCTCTGAATCTTCCTCGAACTCCTCTATCTCCTTCCCCAGAAAAACCTCCTGGTGGAAGTCCTTGTTAAGGTGGCCGTCCCTCTCCATCTTCACCCCGTTCAGGTGATCAGGGGGTAGTATCTCGTTCTCGTCCTTATTGTTAACCGGAGACTTGTCCTTTGAGGCCGACATGTTGGCGGGGCGCGCGTTCACGTCCATGGTGTGAATTAGGATGTAAACGAGGAGGGAAACGGCCAGGAGGTTCCTGCGCCACAGTTTCCTCCAAACAGCCATGACTGCCTTCGGAAAAACACACGTCAAAATAAAGGCCAAGTTTGCAAATGCCGCGTTCGCGTAAGTTCGGAATTTCCCTTACTGTATCACGACCCTGTATTTATTTATTTATTTATTCATTTATCTATTTATTTATTTTACATAAACACCTAAATACGTTTTAAATTACATAATTTGGACATATTTGTTATGATTTGTAATTGTCATTTTCAGTTTAACAATAATTACAGATGTGCTGCCTTTTCAGACTGCCGTTTACCCTAGTTCTTAACCAAACAGGACACCCCAGAAACCCTCTAATTACCCGTGTTCACGTGACATTTTTAACTATTCTACGGAAACAAATGGCTGGCAGGAACTCTATCCTAAAAGCGACACTTCGAACGTCTTAATTAATCTACGTCACGCCGTTGAAGTTTGTAGAAGTATTGATGCCAATTCATATGTGGCTAGCACAGTCGGGAGAAGATAATGATAAGTCTTAACGTTAGCGCGTGTCGGAGGGTGAACAGTCTCAGATATCGACAGGTAAGGACAGCAATGTAAGCGAAAATAACTTTTGAAGACTGTGCTAAAGGTGACGTGAAACTACTCCGTTTGAAAAACGGCAGGTAGCGAACAGTGTAATAACCAGCTAGCTAAGGCTGATATTAGCCGGGACTCATACACACCTGCGGTGTTTCCAGTAAGTCAGGCAAGGTGTCAGACGCCAGTTCCTGTACACGTGGCTCCACCACAACACTCCCCTTTCTAAAATGACCGAGGACTTATTCTGAAACGACACGAGATGAACACAAAATAGGCTTCTAAATGCGTGCGAAAGCTCAAATTCCTCTTAAGTCACCCGGGCTACGAGCTGAACTGGTGACTGACTGGAGAATCTCGGAATAATTCTAAAACTAACCCAACTCTCAAATGTTATTTCCGGTTATTATTTTCAGAGTAAAGCCCCTGGCCTCACAGGGCACATACAACGGCATTTTTCTTTCTTATGGCTAACAAGGGGAGAACTTGTAGTTTGAAAATTGAATGAAAGCATAAAATACTAAAATACCTGTCTAATTTTGGATGAAACTGAATGAAAGCAGGGATTAACATTTTGAATCAGGAATGTAATAGCAACAGTGTCTGTTTTGTAAACTGTTTAATGATTGGCATCCAGCTCCTGTGTAAGGATGATTATTCCCATACTTACCTGAATAATACACATCTTATTTGACTATTCCAGTTTTTGGCATAAAACATCTTACTAGATGAAGTAACTCCAATGGCATGACACACTGTTTGTCAGTGTGATAGCCGAGCAAAAAATGTTTTAGGTTTGAACCTAGATTGTGGTGTTTTCTCTCCTGTGTTGGTTTTGTTTAAGCACTCTGTCTTCCTTCTACTCCCAAGGAAGTAAATCACAACAGCTTGAAAAACGGAAAACTGGACTTCTTGGAATCTAGAGGAAGTTTCACCTGTCACCCGAACGGCTTCTTCAGTTCTGAGTTCAGTTAAGTTTGGAATGAGTGGTAAATACTAATGGATTCATGCGTAAAAGTTTTTTTTGTGTAAAGGTCTTGTGATACACAAGCTATTTGTTCATGGTTTTCCCCATCCTGAAACATTGTCAGGCTCCTCTGTAACCTGACAAGAATAGGATAAGGTCAGTGTGGACGGTAAATGGCATTATATCCCAGTTCAGCTTATTTTTTAATGATACAGATAAAAAGAAGTACACAAAAAAACATATCAACGCAGTATCATGGATATTTAAGTTACTCTTTCAGTAGCTACAATTCTTTTTCAGAAGTTGTTGATGATAAATTGTATTAACTGGGGCAAGAGTGAAACCACAAAAAGCTGCCATCGGAAATTTAATGTAAAGGTTCATATTGTGAAACTGCTCCATCCGATGTGAAATTCATTTTGTTTTGAAAGTTTAATTCATGTGCTTCCGGTAATATATGTTGAACTTCATGCTTTCTAGCTTCTACTTCCTGCTACGTTTCCAGACAGCTGTGCCAACAGATACAGGAAGTAGGATGGGGCCAAAGTGGAAAGGTACTGCTTCGTTGTTTGTAATTCAGGTTATTCCCTCTGGATGGCACTGTGTTAAAATGTAATATCCAAACGGTATGAAAATGTGCACAAGGAAAAGGGGGGAGACTCCAGGAAACGAGTTTGATGTAGACAAATTAAACCAAAATCATAACACATTATTAGTTAGAAAAAAATCTAAACAGGCAACTCACACCAGTTAAAATATATAAATAAGTATATAAATAAGTGCTACTCATACTGACTATAGATATTGTAAGATCCTAAGCCTCTTTGCTGAGCAGTCTCATGGTGGACACAGTGGACCTAACAGGACACATTGGCAGGTTTTCAAACAACAAACTACATCAGATAACATTTTAAGGTCATAAAAGAAACCTAATCTAAACACTGGGCTGTGTTCAGGCAGGGTCTGGTATTGGCACTGAGCCAACATCACAGATACACAACTTCATACAAGGCACGAAGACACACAATTCAATTGTCTACCAGAGAGCCTCTTCAGCTGGAGCATTTCACCTATGAGATAAAACAGCTGAGTACGGTTGTAAGGTTGCCAATAGAGAGAGGCAAGGCAGAGAGAGGGGGATCAGGGGGAGGGAGAACGGGAGATGATAAAACTCCACTGTGAGCCCTCCTGTAAGCTCAGAGCAAAGGAGCAACTGAGACCAGAGGGGCAGGAATTGCAACGGAGCAGGCAAAAAAAAAAAAAAAAGGGATCGACCAGACTAAATCTTAAGGCACAGACTTATTTGGGGCAGCCGGTGAACAGCATCAGAGTTGAGCAACAAAACAAAGCAAAACAAACAAACAGAACAACAAAAACAAAAAAAAAACAATCACCACAAACAACAGCTTTTTGCAGAGTTTGAAGTGACCGCTGTAAGGAGCTACGTATTCTTCAAGGATAAAAGAAGAAGGCTTTAAAAACAAAAGGTCAGTTTTGGTTCTGCATATCTGTCTCCTGTTTTGGTTCCTGTGCATCCACGCTGGCTTGGGCAGATCCACTCGAATGCTGACCCGCAACTTTTGGATGAAAGTCCGGCTCCCGCGGAGCCCTCAGCCTCCACATCCCGGTGCTGGAGCCGGGACATCTCGCCCCACGTGAGGATCAGCAGGAGAAAAAGCGAGAGAGGAAAAAAAGAGCACCCCGCCATCCATCTTCAGCTGTCGCAGCCTACCCTCCGCTTTGGACGCCCCTCCTCATTGCCTCTTCTTTTGCACCCTGTGCTCCCCCCCACCCTCCACCCCCACCACCACCAAAACCCTCCTCCTCCAACACCTCACCCCCCAACAGAGCAGAAAGCGTGAAAAATCTCACTAATGGGTTTATTTGCTGTCAGATCTGCGCCGATCTGTCATTCCCTTGGACCACTCTGCTTGACACATTTCATAGTTGAGTAAGCCTTCTTGGCTTTCTGGCTGGACTTAGCGGTGCCCCCGCGACGCTGTGCAGGCTGCGAGCTCATCAAGAGGGGAGCGACGGCGGCGGCAGTCAGCCTGACAAGGCTCCCAGAGCTGCATTCCTTCAGTCTCCTTCCCCCTGCCTGTGTCCGGGAGCCTCGTGGGCATCCTCAGCTTCTGTCCAGGCAACAGCGACTGGTCTCCCCCCCACCCCCCCCTCCGCAAGATTCGGCCCGGTTTGGAACGGAATCTGGTGCTGACTGAAAGAGCGGGAAGATGCGGTGTGGGGCCGGGCCTCTGGCCGTGGTGGCAGCAGTGTTTTGGACTCAGTGCATCCTTCTGCAAGGGGTGGATGCCAAGAAAGAGCGAAAGAGGCCAAAAGAGGCCCCTCCACAACACACAGAGGCATTCAATACAACTCTATCCAACAGCGAAGAAGTTGGTGGAAGCATCAAGGTAGGGAGTAAAGATTAAAAAAAAAAAGCTGAGCAAGCATCTCGAATGTTTGTGAACTTTATACAAATGTCTGATCTTATCCTATAGATGTGTGTGTCTATATGTGGTGAATTTTTGTTTGCATATAATGTCTGCTGTGGGAGTAGAGTAAAAAAAAAAAAGCAAAAGACACACAGGACAGGTGTGCCCCGCCAGGTCAGACTTCAGACAGCGTGACGGAGAAAAATGTGTTAAAACTCTAAATGGATGACTTCCGGAAGAATGCTAGGAATGTGGACATCCAAAGGCCAATCAATGCATCAATTAGAGAGCGCAGCGGGTGTCTCCCAGCAGTGTTCCACGCTATGGGAACAAATCCGACCTCAGTTTAGAGTCAGATATGATAGGTCCCAACACCTCGGCTCTTCCTCCGGTTATTAACCCGTAGGCGGAATCATTTCAGATAGAAAAGTGTTGTCAGTTTCTATTTTCTAGATACAGAAAATAGAGATAACAGTTAAAAAGTAGCCATGGGAGAAAAAAAAGCAGTTTTCTTTAGAAAAACTGGTAGATTTCCATTATCAGTAGCGACAGTTGGCCCTTGACTCGGCTATTTATTGCTTTTCTTGATGGTGTTGCATATTTGCAAGGCTTTCCAACCGGGTGTTTGTTTTGCTTTCAGCCCACCCATTCTGTTGGCATTCTCATGTAACTCTCCCTGCCCCGTATACCAGCCTTCAACCTCCACCACGTCCCCCTCCCATCACCTTAAAACACACACAGTGAGCTCTCCATTGTATCTTTGGAGGTGGCTGTGGCCTGCCGGTGTTTATTTGACTTGGTTTGGCCTGTAAAAGCAGCGGCTGTGAGGGATGATCATCTGTCAGAGGTAGAGTCTGATGAAGATGGGCCCGCTCCTCTGTCTGGTCCCACTGGTCCTCTGCCCCCCCCCCCCTGTTGTGCCTTACATGCCGTGATGTAACTCCTGGGAAAATGAGGTGGGCAGGTATTTAAAGGCCTGTGGTGATGTTGTTCCCAGCTTGTGCACAGGCCCGGCCTGACTCCACCGGGTCTGGGACATCCGATAGGGGCGGTGTGGCAGCATGCCGTGTAAGCCCCTCACAAAGTCCAATAGAAAGAGTCCTGAAAGGGAACACCTCCGCGAGGATTAGGCCCCACCGCCTCCCTCTCTGACATTCTTTTCATCTCATCTCACTCAATCAGATGGTAATGACATAATCACTCTTAAGACGCTGTGTTATGCCAGATAATGTCTTTGCCAAACATTTTCACCTCTGTTGGAAACCAAGTTTTTGAGTCCGACATCCGATGAAGTGGACAAACTCAGCCTGGCGTTTGTCGGTGGTGCTCTATCCGGGTTTCTGTTCAAGGAAATTTAGAAAAGTTTTAAAAAGAGAAGAAAAAAAAGGCATGCCACACACCATGAGAAGTGGTAGACGTGCTTTTCTTGGGCAGTTTATAAGTTTACCCCATTACACATCTGTTAGGTCTCACAGAAAACAGCATGTCCATTGGAGCTGTCTTGGCAAGCAATTTGTATTCTCAAACCAGCCAAACATTTACACTCCGCATTTACATTTTTTTTTTCCCCTTGTGGCCAGTGGAAACAGTTCTTATGATGCCATTTCTATTTGACCAATCCCGTGTGTGGGCTGCTGGCAGCGTGCAGTTGTATGCTGCATTCCTCTGGAGATTTTCCATTTGAAAGCCATCACAACAGTAAGGTGTGCCTGGGCTTCACAGGGAAGAAAAGGGAGCATTTATGAGCAAACGAAGAACATTTCAAACAATCCCCTGATCTCCGGGAACCCCTTTAGAGCATCCTGTCAAAGGCACAAGCGTTTTCCTCTTAGGATGAGAGGAATATGTCCCTGTCATGAGCCGTGAGGGGTCTGTGTCGGTTGTAATTGGGGAGCCGCGTCAAACATCACGCCTGGCGTGTTGAGTAATAGTTGGATTTAGCCCCAAGCTAGGGTTTTTTTTCTCCCTTTCTCATCCTTTGAGATGATTAATGTAGTAGTGTGTGGGACGTTTAGGATCAACCCACACAGAAGATACAAGGCCAAATCCCACCGAAATGCCAGAGCACACAGCTCTTCCATGCTATAGCTGCCTATAGTCTCAGTGGCATGATGATGGATTTAGCTCTCAGCAGAGGTTACGCTTTGTTAACATTGTGAAATAACATCACGAAGCAGTCAGAAAAAGTGTGAAAAAGACACAAATAACAAACAGCCTTTTGTCATTACAACTTGAACTCACAAGCAAAATAAACCACACAGTTGTGCTTCCCCAATGCAGACACAGAGCAGCTGTTTTTACTCGGATTCTTGCCCCATTCATGGAAGTCCATTAATCTTGCCTGATCGTATACTAGTCGTGTTTCCAAACGTGCGAGCTGTTGACTGCAGCCTTGAATAAAAACAGTGGGGCTCATTAATCCACACCAGATAATATGAAATTCTTATATTTCGGTTTTATCCTCCCGGTGCCTGTAATATGCTCTACAATGAAAAACATGCCGTAAGTGTGGAAAGTGTGTTGAAAATCAGATCCATTTTCTTTACATCGGCCAGAAACGAATTGGTTATCTTAACGTAAATGAATTAAACCGACATAACCTGTGAGTCTGAGGGTTAAAAAAGCTCTGTGATTAATAAAACATTGTCAAACAAATTATACACAAAGAATTGAATAGAATTTCAGTGAGAATTAAAAAGAAATATGGTATTAAATTCTTAATGACTAGGTTTGGAGCCTATTAGCACGGAGATATAGGCTGTCATTCATCATCAGTCACCTTGCAGGTACTATTCTTAGTTTCAGTAAAGCTGAAGGAGCCTCTGACTGAGGACAACTGTTGTATAATCACTATGTAGCACTGACTATTGTGTTCATCAGCGTTCTCAGCACTCTTCATTGCACATCCTGCTGTAGGGGCTCCAAATCATTCCTCACGACAGAGCCAGCCTTCATTCTAATTTATCAGATTGTTTGAGTCACTGGTTCTGAGGTGCTGCCCTAACTATCGTGGCAAAGTCGATTTCCCCCTCCACTATCGATTTATTAGATGTGTGCAACATGGTGCTGGACATGTTAAAGAATCTTAGCTACCTTTTGAAGTCCGATCTGTATTTGCCATGTATTTTTCTCCAGTAAGAATATATGTTCCCTTAAGTAAAACTCTAAGAATTTCAACAAAAAATAAAAAGTGAATGTAAAAATTCACCAGTATTTGAAGAGTGACAAATTCCCAATGAGGAGGTTGGACGGGTGGTGTTTAAATTAAGTACCTGGTTGTCATTCAGAAGTCCCTGAGTTAGGAACGTATTTACTCTAGAATTAACACACAGTTATGTTAGGTTTAGGAACTTGCCCCATCATAAGTTTAAGCGTGTAACCTTCTTGGTTTTGGGTGAGAATGTTTAAACCATTTTTACCAGTTTACCAAGTGAGAAATTCCCCTCTATTGCCAATTATGCTGCGGGTATGCAAGAATTTCCTGATTAAAGTCTATTGTCATGCTCGTGGTCAGGCAGAAAAGTGTACATTTGATGTTCTGCTGTGCAAATATAAAGATTTTTATCCAGATTTAACATACAACTGAGCCACAGAGCTGCTACTGTGGCCACAAAATGTTTGGTTTGTCCATTTAACCTGGGCAACATCTTGAAGATAACAACAATGCATTTAACAGTTAGAATCCTCACTTTGAACATTTCACATGTGAATAAACAATAATGTTTGATGATAATGAGCATCTCTGCTTGTCTATCCCCCAATTACTCTTTATATTTGTTTCCCAATCTAACACATGTACTCTTGTGACTCAACCCATCAGGGGCAGATTAACTGCATCAAAGTGTGACAAGAAATCCATTTTATTCTAGTGCAGCACAGTCTGGGGCACAAATGAACCGATCCTCTGATTGAAAACACTGCTGTTCCGCCCACAATGGAACCCTGTACCTGGGACTAATTTGAATCCTTAGAGCTTTTCAACATCTCACTTTACCTACCACAGGGAAAATTAGCACTCACCCTAGATTTAACACTGTAATTTGTACACAAAACAGCTGTGGCAAAGAGATCATGAATTTTTTCAACCTTTTCTTTTGGCCCTTTTATATCAAGAAGACGCCCAGGCTTTCCCGTTTGGTTTTAAAAGCATAAACACAATGTTTTTCCATTTACACTCACAAAACAGAGAGTTTCCCATACTATGATACATTTTTTTACATAAATGATCACCCTCAGACATGTTCCTGCAACTTATAATGAGCCACTTACAGCATCCACATAGTGCGATGGGAGTAATTATGTGTTCTCTCAGTGCTTGTCAGTTGTGTAATACATATAGTGAAAGGAGAGTCAACATTGCATGCCTGACTGTATTTAGTTTTTCTCTGCGATAAATCCTCAGAAAGAAATCTGCGTTTTTGAAGAGCAGTGGTGGGGAACACCGTCTCGGGTGCGTGGAGACGACTGGGATGCGCGCAGGTTAGCAGGATCCCCTCATCCCACGCAGCCCGGGGATCCCTGCCTGCCTCACAGGACGGCGCTGGCCCGGGGTTAGGCCCTTCCACTCATGCATGGATGGCTGCACAGGGAGCAGCACCGGGATATAAAAACAAGGGATTAGAAAAAAGGCTTTCCATCATCCTGCGCAGTCTTAAACCTGCATGCGCAACATTTTTTTATCAGCAGCAAAATGTCTCATGTTGTGTAGTGTAGCACGAACAGGTAGAAGGACAGATAACGCCAAAGCGAAAATAAGATAAGTTTGCCTTGCGCTCATAAGAATGCAGGAGCTCCCGGCAGAGGAGTAGAGTTTCAGTGTCTGGTTACAGCCCCAGAGACATGTTTTAACAGTTGCGTTTGTGTTGTTGGTGGCACGCTGCCCCAGGGGAATATTTCCCATTTTATCGCCTCAAATAAATTCTCGCTAATTTTCTCCAAACTTCATGAAAAACATATTAAAACAGCGCACACAGAAGAGT